TTTTCGCGATTTGAATAATGTCCAATATACTTAAACCAAATTGATGATTTTTTGATAACCTTTTTTTTTTATTTTAACTCTTTAGAACATCGAAAAAAGCTTAGATCCAAAAAATGGCCTGATTTTTGTCATCTTAGAGAAAAGTGGTTTATCTCAAAGAAAGTAGAATGATTTAAAGAATAAATCGCACAGATTCTGAAAGTAGAGCTCTTGCTCTATCGTTCTATAACAAAGACTGTGCTCTAACAGTCTCTCTGTTAGAAAAACCATGCATTATTTCTCAACCGAGGATTTTCCAAAAAAGACGTGTTCAGTATAATGAGTACGCACACTTTAGCACAGCTTCAAAACGCGCGAAATTTTCACATAAGGTTTAAATCTGTTTGACACATCTACTCACTTAGCGTAAAGATGCGTAAATACTTCTGGACTGGGTTAGAGGTTTTACAAAAACCTCCGGTTTTCCAGCTTATTCTTTATTTTTTGGGAGTTAGAAGTACTTTCAGACAAAACTAATCACATATTCGAAATCAGCACGAGAAACTGCATTGAATGATGTGCCTTTCAATGGCTTCAAGATGAGATCACTTTTCAATAAAATCCAGTCAAACGTGAAAATCCCATTTTTCACTGTTTCCTCCGCAATGACGTGAAACTATGAATCTGCAAAAATTATTAACTAGGTTAATAATGCTCGATTGTGATACAGTCAGGAACAATGGTAAGATCTTGAACCTTTGGATTTTATAATCACAATCTCTTGGGACAAAGCTGGATGCTACCAAGGGGGTCCACGCAACATGCTTGAGCAAAACGAAAAAGAAAAGACAAAACAGTCTTGACATGTAACAATGAAGACGATAGCCTTTTTTATAGTATGCTTGTAGATAGTTAATTATTTTGAATTTTATTTTTTTTATAAGTTTTTTTTTCATTAATTTTAGTTTTAGCATCAATTTTGATTCTTTTTGCGTATACGTAGCAAATCCACGAAAAATAACCTTGAAGTATCGGTCTACAATTTGTAAAAGAAGTCTAATGACTCGACCAGCTCCCTAAAAAAAAGAGTCAAGGGGTAATGGTGGGCACTATATACTATATGACGACGTGCTTTTCTAGTCTGAGCTCTTGTTAGCATTTGCTAGAACATAGAAAACGGTTCAATTTAAGTGTCCTATTAAAAGTAGTTTCCAACAACCTGGATTTCAAGAAAAATTTCTTGAAGGTTCCATAAAGTCTTTCTATTACCAGATTCAAAATTAGCATACTCAAAAATCTATAAGAAATGATGTTCAAATCGGAACTATTACATTGGCACATAAGTTCTGAGCATTTGGATCAGTAGTTCGAAATATTTTTCAGCAAATAAGTTCAAGTCAGATCGGAATATACAGGGCGATAGAGCATTTCAAGAGCTCTCACAATATATAATTATTTTTCTAAAAAGCCAAATTACTGTAGAGATAAAAATTGTAGGAACACATGAGAAAGGAACAAAAAATGAAGTTCGTGGGAATCTGAGGGTGAGAATGTCTTCACTGTATTCAAAATATTTTTTCAGCAAATAACTGCAAGTCAAGACTTAAATATACAGAGTGATAGAGAATTCCGAGCTCTGTCAGAATATATAATTACTTGCCTTAAAATGTAGTCTTATATTGGTGATATAATTCTACTGATCCAAACACTCAGAACTTATGTGCCAATGCAATAGATATTTAAAAGACCATTTTGACCTCCGAAAAAACAATGATTTTTATAAAACCAACTTAAAAGCGCTTCTGAGTTTTGCAAACTACTCTATTGAAAAGAGCACATGCGAAAACCTATAAAAAAAGTATTTTTGAATATATTGGAGTGTTTTAAAACAAAATATCCGCATGCCTGTGAAAAATTGCTCACTGTGCAGTAAGAATCAAGAAAAAAAGCATTTCATATGCTCTACAAATGAAAGAAATTTGTATAGAATCAACATTGACTAACGTCAAATAGACAAAAACATGCTCGCACGTGTTTTTCTTTTTCCTGTTCTCTCCTAGCCATCTACCATAATCGAACCACTGTCGTGCGACATGAAGCACGATCGACTTTTATTAATGATAATATATTGATGTGCATGCATCAAATTTTCAGTACTAACTAGTTTAAAAGTCAACAGTTGCAAAGTTTCAAATTTCTAACCATAGAACATTGGTTTTTTGCAAAGACGTTAGTATTTTGATGTTAAAATGGCTGCAATTGTGCGTTTTACTTGTAGACATAAATTTCAACATTTAAACTGACTACGTAGTTTTGAAAATTTGTTCTGTGTGCATCAGTAATAGTATGATTCATAAAGTTCGTTTTGATTTCTTCTTCTTATTTTCGTAGATGACAACTGAAGCTTATCTATGAAATGCTACATATGTATTTTTCTTACTCGATAACAGATAATATTTCTTTAGTAAAGCCAAAAGTATAACTTGACAGTATTAGTTGTTTACGTGATCCGTATAGAATAAAAACAACTTTAAATAAGTTTCTACCAGTGAACAAAAAAAAATCAGCCCATTCGAGCGAACCAAAGCGGAGATGTTTCATTGTTTTACCATAGTGTTGTTTATGGTCCACCCTGTACTTATTTTCGGTCTAACCCTTGACTCACAAATTTAAATGAAGTTATTTTTCTTATGCGAATTAGAATATTTCATCGGAATTTTGATAATGAATAGTTGAGGACCAACTCCGATGAGAGTAATTTAGTCAAAACTTATCCTAACGATTTTGATAATTGTAACATCAATTACATATCCATATACTGCTTATCTTTTCGATATGCATCAAAAGCAACTCGTGACGCATGGATTTTACAGATTCTTTTTTTTCATACCCTAATCAGCGAAGGTCGTCTTAGTTGATCCTTTCAACAAGACAGAATATTCATCAACTGGCGTATAATAGAAACATATTCTCGCGAACGAAACGTAACTTTTCGAGGATGTTAAAGCAAAATAAATGTTTTTTGCTGTTCTATGTGCCTTCGACTATCGCATCATAACTGAATCTGATGTTAATGGATTTTTTCGAATGCGGGTTCGAAGATCATATGAACCTTACAAAAAACAATGAACAGCATTCATCAATTGAAACATTGTATATTTATATTGAAGAAGGTTTCTTTCATCAGTTCGTTGGAATCGACCTGTTCCATGACTGTTTCATGAGCAGTAATGAGGAACATGAGCTGGTTTTTGTTTTTGTATTGTTCTAGCCTTTCGAGCTTTTTTGCATATTGAACTTCATAAAACTTCCATAACATGGCTCTATTGTTGACATTGAGTTTATCGTTACCAATGACAAACGTTTTTTTTTCAAGTTCTGCATGGAAAAGGAAAAAAGACGACCCGACAAATTCTACGCTGACAGAAACAGAACAGTAAAATTTCATGCGTGTTCTTTGAATATTTTTCTTCACATTGAAGTTGTTAAAGCATCGATGATTGTTTACCTCCTATTAGTCTGAGAATTTGAAGGAAGAAAAGTGTGCAATATTATTTCTATCAATTACGATTGCTACACTAAAATTACTTTGTAAGCGATTCAATGTATAAGAAGTGCTTCTTAATTAATTATTTTTCGTGAATGTTAGAACTTATATGTCATTTATTTTTGTTATTTTTATTATTTTTGTTATTTTTGTGTAGATACGTCGCATCCTTTTCAATTTACAAAGTTTATCGGCATAGCTGAATCGGATTTTTTTGTCATTGTTTATCGGTATGGGCAATGGCGCATTATCTTCTTCAAGTAATCAAAACAAGATTAACAATCATACAACAATTAACGATTCAGATCGACATTTGGCACTCGATTTTCAATACATTGATCAAAAACAAGTTATACCAATCGAGAATCGCGTTCGTTTTTCATCAACAGATACGATTAGCGTAGTTGTCAAAGACTTTCTAGCGCTTGATGAAGAACAACACACGATCTCTCCTGATAAAGTCGTTTTGGTTGCAATCTCTATGGGTGGACGGAACTCTGTGCCGCCTAAACGAAATGGTCGCATGACGTTGCAAGAATTGAAAGTTACAAATGGATCTTTATTATGTTGTGAGCCATTGGAAGTTGGTAATCGTTGCAAATCATCACAACTAATCTTGTTCTCACCACATGATACAAAGAAGAAAAACTACGAATGGAACGAGAAATCGACAACAGTTAACATGCTTCTTGATGATGTCATCAGAATCTTTGATTTGAATTCTATTGATCGCAAGAATATTCAACTATGTACGTTCTCAAATGAAAATCTCAATCGGCCAATCAACTCAGGAGCGAAATTAAGTGCATTGGGTCTCACTAATTACTCTTCAATTTTTGTAGTAATTACAAAATCTAATCCTTTTTATAATTATGACCAAGATATATATGTTCTTGTCAACAGTAGTCTACATGGTGAAACAATTTTATATGCATCACTTACGGACTCCATTATCGAGCTAGAAAATCAGATTGCACGTCGATTCCCACCATGTTACGATATATATGTTGAATTCAGTAACGCAAAATGTGAGCCTTTAATTTCAAATGATCCGAAACGAATGTTACGAGATTTGGGTATCAAGTCTGATGAGACTATTAAGGCGATTGTTAGAGAGAACCTTCGAAAAAGACAAACGACGTCTATGAAACAAAGAATCGTTAAGTTGCAATCACCATTGTTGGCTACGAAAGAACGTCCAGTCTTTGTTCAATGCAAATTCTTGACACAGGAACCTACCGCTATTGAAGTGTCAGCAGCAGATACAGTGGCCAGAGTGATGGACAAAATCGCAGCGCTTAAAAAAAGTCAGCCAAAGGCTCAGTTTCGATTATATTCAGAAACGATTAATATTGATGACAAGCAACCAGATCGATGTTTGACTGATTTTGGCGTCAAGCCTGGTGATACAATTTATGCGAGTATGATAGACATGAATTCAAATGATTCCTCTATGTCAAGCAACCAGATTGACATGGTACCTAGACCGTCGAACAAATATCCGATCGGTTCAAAACCACTCGGCTTGGTAAATCTTGGCAATACATGTTTCATGAATAGTGCACTTCAATGTCTCATACATGTAGCACCATTGACTAATTTCTTTTTGGATGGTTTTGCTCGAGTTCATACATCTGATGACCATCATGATAGTTACAATCCATTTGATACGTGTGGCGAAATGACTGGAGCTTATGCTGACCTAATATGGAATATGCAACGATCCGATCGTATAGACTCAGATTATATTCATTCATTTAAACCGATACGAATGAAGGAAACAATTGGTTATTTTGTTCCAAGTTTTGCCACATCAGATCAACAGGATGCTCAAGAATTCATCACGTTTCTTCTCGATGTCATACACGACGAATTAAAAGAGAAAAATAAACCTGATCAAAATACAATTATCCAACAGCTTTTTTTCGGAACGCTAATATCAAAAGTTACGTGTCTTAAATGCAACCATGTAAAAAGTACAACAAATCGCATTGTCTTTCTTCCAATATCACTCAATCATCAACAACGATTATTTGTAGTAAACTTTCTCACGAAAGATGGCATTCAAGATCGTACTTCAGTGAATGTGGCTGCTAATGGACGAGTCGAAAATCTTGTTCAACAATTTCTTGAGCTTAATGATCTTTCTCATCTCTTTAATCAAATCATTGTCATAGAAACGAAGTCAGAAGAACAACTTCAGTTCGAAACTCCCCTCAGACGATTATTCGAAGATGAAGTAACACTTATCGAACAAGATCATTACATAAGTCGCTTCCAATCTAATCGATTCGACGAAGAACTTGACAATTTGAGACTTGAAGAATGTCTTCAAGGATTTGTTTCACTCGAGAAACTTGAAGATATATGGGTTTGTCAACAAAATACATGCCAGCAAGCCACGCTCGCTAGCAAACAACTTCAATTTAAAAGTCTCCCACATGTAGTCATCATTCAACTTAAACGATTTTCATATACAAACAGTTTTCGTCGAAAATTGGACACATTTGTTGACTATCCTATTGATGGACTTGATTTGAGTGAGCTTCTATTATCGTCATCATCGTCGAAAAAAGAAAACGCTATTTATGATCTCATTGCTGTTAGTAACCATATTGGGTCTATCCATGGTGGTCATTATACTGCATATGCACGACAAGATCCAAGTATGGATGAATGGTACGAATTCGATGACTCATATGTATCAACAATTTATTCAAAACAGAAAATTGTATCAAAATATGCCTATCTTCTTTTCTATATCAAACGAACGAAATAAATTTAATTATAGTCAGGTGACTGTTTTGTAGAATTGTATTCGAGTTCACATTAGCTTTATTCGATTTGTTCCAACCTTGAATGATTAATTGACATTTATATCTTGAATCCAAAACTTATATTATATATGTTTAAAATTAAAGTGTGACGGGTTTCATCAACAGCCCTCAGCTTGCTTCAAGCTGTGATAGAATTTTTCCGGGTTCAGTGAACTTAAACAATCAGAAGCTGAAACTTCGATAGTTGAGGCTAGTCAATACGGAAAACATTTTCTTTTCTATAGGAAAATTCTTGGAATAAATCGATTCGTCGGCTTCTGAGTATTGAAAATTGTTATTGAGGAAAGAGATGTTCCTACCAAAAAGATACTCGTGAAAGTCGTCTTAGAACGCTCTAGCTTATAATTACGTTGTAGATTTCTGCAAAACACAATCTATGACACCAAAAGATTTTCCAAGTGTATAATTTTATGTTATAATAAAATTGTGCTTGAATGTGCGCACTAAAATAAAATGTGTCGCTAGTTACAGCATCGCAGACTCTCGCACGGAGATGTATCATAATTAGAATGTGGCATAATTAAAAATTTGTCGTGTTCTGTCTGCTGAATATTCAGAATAAAAATAATTAAATCGAATTAAATTGGAAAAAATTTTATCATTTGCTTTCACAGAAAACAAAATAAAAAATGCACCGTATACCAGATTCGAACCATGTTGTCAGAATGTGTTGCATATGTCATAGAAGAATATGTTGGGTCATTGCTGAACAAAATGTGTTACAATGAGCACCGCGTGTCGTGCATTATGTTGCAAAGTACGACACATGCGACACATTATATTTTAGCGTGCGTCCATCTTGCGCTTGGTATTAACATGAGCAAAATCTAGTTCCCCCACCGTCTCCCAGTAATCATGATAAATTGTCATATTTCTTTCACCAAATCGAGGAGGTCGAACATGCTCTACAAAAAAAAAAGATTGATTTCAACCTGTTTGTAGAAACCAGATGTATATCACGGACGAACTTTCATGGAAATACTCTTTTTTGATTTAGGATGATGCATTGTCTCATCGGACATTGTCCAATGTGTGTTCGAATTGCTCGAGACACATGCAAAATACTTTCTTGCGAAATCTCTTTCTTTATTCTGACGAACGCAAACACACGTAGAGGCGATACTGACGAGCAGCATCTATAAGAAAAAGAGCAATGAAAGAGAAATCAAACGATGAGCCCGTTCTAGTTGAATCCGGGATGATCGAATGCATACTTAATGGTACTTGTCCACTTGTCATGTTCTAAAGACATCAAGTCAATGCGCATTGAGTATATTTGCTCGAACCAATCCAATCTAACCTTCAGATGATATTAATGAAGTCTCCAGAGAAATCTAGAGAGCATCCAAAGTTCTTAGGAGAGTCTCTAGCGAATGGCTACATGAACTTCATGGGTTCTTCAAGGATCTACAGTAGATTCGTTTGAGGAACTATTAAACATTCCGTCTAGATTCCCTGCATACCACCTGAGAATACACTAAAGATCTCCTCAGAATCCGTTGGAGATCCTCTCAGGATCTTCTGCAGATCGCCTCAGGGTCTCTTTGAGATTGATAGTTGAAAACTAGAATATTTCAATTTTAAAGTTTGAATAATCATAACAACTATTCGAGTTTTACATGTATGAAAAATTTGTCGCGAAACGAAAAATTTCTTCAGACTACTAATAGTTATACTTTGCTTCATGGTGCCCTGAGAGAAAATCTTTTCATATTTAAGCCAGAAACATTTCTCAATATTTTTGCCGTCAACGGTGATCATAGTCGTGACAGTTATTCAATAATGGAACGCTTTTTAGGCTTGATTCTAAAAATCACAGTTGTCTGTGATTTACCTTCAGAAAAAGATAATTCAGCTTGCTGTTATAGATGACAGAGTTTACAAAGATTGTCTAGAGCCTTGATGCAAGCCCTAGTTTCTCTTTAGCATTTGTCAGAAGCCGCAGACTGTCTGTGAATTTGCTTGACCTAGATTGGCTGTCAGGCCTGGTATAAATTACAAATTGTCTGTCAAATTTACCAGATCTAGTAGAAATCGTTACCTGCTTGCTAAATTTACCATAAACTAAAAACTTCCAGAAAGGTTTGGCAGATACCTGACAAGAAAGTTTTAGCAAACACATTCAAAAGGTGGAAACTACATTTTCAAATAATCTTCTCCTACATTGAGAGGCATATCAGGTATTGACAAGTAAAGATATTTGAGTAAGATATTTTTGTCCAGGAAAAGTCTATATAGTGAAATATTTGTCTATCTAACGAAAGATAAGTTTTTCATGAAAAATGAATATGTTATTGAAATTTCTTTCATGTATTTTATTAATTTGTGAACAATGATAAAACCAATTCCCCGAACACATACATTGAACAGTTTTTAAGAGAAAAAAAAAATAAAATGGAATCTTTATAATGTGTTGATTTCGCCCATTATATTGATACGTCGATTTTGACATTTTTTTACAGAAATTTCCTTTGCTACCTAAAAATATATGAGAAAATTCTATAATCAATTTGAAAAAGCCAATTAATGTAACCTGTTCTTTAAGTTGTTTAGTATATGAAATTAATAAATTAAGTTTTTCTTTTAATTGTTGTTCTTCTTTTAAAGAATTTGATGCTTTTTCTTCTAATTCTTTTTGTTGTAAACGATTACGTTCAATAGCAATTTTCTTTTGTTGAAAACAATTTATAAGACGATCAACAAATTTATATGAATCACGCATTGAAAATAAACGATCTAATTGTCGATTAGCAATCGATGTAAATATTGAATCAACATTTTTTAAAAAAGATTTTAAATCTTAAATCAAAAAGAAAGATAATTTTTATCTTTTCCTAAATGATTTTCTTACCATTTTCATTTATTTTTTGTATTGATACTGGAGCATTTTGCATGATAAATGTCATAAGAATAGTTTCATTAACATGATATTCATTAAGACGTTGTTTTAAAAATGATTGAAGCTTAAAAAGAAGAAAAAGAATTCTTGTGTTTTTATTGTTTCGAAATCATAAAAACTCAACTAACTCGATAAAGTTCATAAATAAATAATGTATATGTTGAACGATTTTCTAATAATGTTAATGCATCATTACCACGAGCGACACCATCATCATCTGGTTAAAGAAGAAAAAAAAAATTGTCAAGAAAATAAAATATAAAATAAAATACTTGTATGATTTGATCCATTCAAAGCAGCTTCTCTAAGAGCATCAGCAATTGAATTCGGATGTGTACCATTTGATGAAAGAGCTGGATCAAGTAATTCTGGTACTGTATCAATAGCAGACCAATCAATTTCTGCTTCCTAAATAAATAATAAAATATTGGTATTGAAAATTTAAAAATCAACATTATTTTCATACAGTATCAACATCAATAACATCAGATTGATCTGCTGTTTGTTTAACTTCAATACCTTCAGTTGTTGTTGTTAAATCATCATCTAATCCTAAAATAATATTTGGTTGTTCTTCTTCATTTACTTCTGTTGTTTCAGCGAATTTATAATTTAATGGTGGTCGTTCAATACTAATAGGTAGATGACCACCAGTTCGCCATTGATAAACAGTTGTATTTCCATTTTCAATTAAATATTTAATTATAGGTAAAAATTCTTCATTATCACATTTTGAAGATGGATGAAAATGTTTCATAAATTCTATATAAAATTCCATAGCTGGTTTTAATAATGGAATTGAAGTTTGATCTCCACTAGCTAATTCTGTGCATATATTTGGTAAATATTCAATACGTTGAATTAATTCTCGTTGAACATTATCACCCTAAATTAAATAGAATATAAAAAAAAAATAAAAATAATCAAATTGAATAAAATAATAAACTAACTTTAATTGACATATCCATACATAATTGTGCATATTGTTTTTCAATTTCATGAATATTTTTCTCTAATTCTGTATGACGTGTATTACATTCTTCTCGAATTTGTTGACATTTTCCAATGTTTTTTTTTAATGCAGGAATTTCAAAAGCAACATTTCGTTGAAGAATTTGAGCACATTCAACTACAAATGTTAAACATGAACAAAAAAAAGTAAAAAAAAAAACCGAACAAACCAAGGTAAACAGAATTTTTTTCATAATTTGAAACAATTGTTCGCCAATCCTAAAATGTTGTAAAATGATAAAAATAAATATAAAATAATGTTAAATACCTTCATTCGTTTTGATGAATACATTCCAAACATATTTTTACTTTCTTTTTCTGTTTCTTTTAATATTTCAACAATTTTAAGAGAACAAAAATAATCCAAATCTATAAATGAAAATAAATAATTAAAATAAAAATGAAATAATATTCATACATGATGATCCAAGTAATCTTTTGATTTCATCATGTTCTGGCATATCCAAAATAGCTTGTTGAATTTTTGATCGAATAGCTATGGATCGTTCATTCCAATCTTTTGGACAATGACGACGATCGACTAACCAATCTATCGAAACAATCAATATTTATTATTATTAAATTAAAAAAAATAATAAGTTAATTATTGAACTAACCAACAAGTTTAGAAAGATGAATATCGATAGTACTATCATCAATAGTCATTATTATATCTTCAAATAAAAAAAAAAAACTCATGAAATATTTCTTTTTTAAATCTATGAGAATTTTTAATTAATGATAGAAAAAGACGTAAATATTTGATGTATCAATCCTAAAAAATTGTTTGTTTATTGAATGAAAATTAAAAAAAAAAAGAAAAAAACTAAAATAGAATATAAGCTGGAGGATATTTGGCAATAATTAAACGTTCTTGATATGAAACTAAATATTTCATATTCATTGTTTGATAAAGCTAAAAGAAAATAATTTAAATTAAATAAAAGAAAAAAAAAAAGAAAATAATTTACTTGAAGTAATTTCTGATCATATTCTTGTTGTTGTGATGAAGATTTTTCTTCAATTTGTTTT